AAACGTCCAACTTAACTGAAATTGAAACTCAACTTCATTGAATTAAAATGCTAAAGATTGAACCATAGGATTGAAGTTTCCACAAAACCCAATTAGCGACGACACAACACAAGTGGAGGCTGGAGCCCATAGATTTCCATACCCACAACAATATTCAAAACCAAGTTTAAAATATATCAAAAACATACTGAAACTCTATTAAAATGTGAACAAAATCAACGGTTCTCCAATGTTTAACTAGGGAACTTCCAAAAAGGAAAAAATTAAGGGTCTCTAAAACAAAACTAAATTCATGAACGATAGCTTAAAGTGCAGCACAAATACCATCACCAAAAAAAAAAATTCTGTTCAAAGGGATCAACTTTCCTCTTCACAGTAGTATTTCAGTGCTAATTTATAACCCTTGCCTTCTTGTATCCTAATATTGGTCCAGACACAGATGAAGTTCCTCCATTAACTTATCATCTAATTAGCTAATTAGATGGTGACTTTAGCAATGGGACATATAAATAATTTCCAGAACGTCCAATTTTAATTGAAATTGATATTCAACTTCATTGAATTAAGAAGCGAACTATTCAAAATGAGATTTTACCTGAGAGATTAACCGCTGAAACTCGCAGGCCAGAAACCCTCGAACAGGATGCTCGCAATTTTCCCCTTCCAAGATCTGGAGACGAATTGATTCCAAAAATTTTTAAAAAATCTAATAAAAAGTTAAAAACGGTTCGTTTTGAATAGGAAAAGAATATGTGAGAGAGAAATTGGATTTTCTTTGTTTGGGCCCAAATGTCTAGTTGGACTCAGTAACGAGCCCATTATTTGTTTGCTTTTCGAAACACAGACTCTCTTTGTTTATATTTTGGATGAACAAAGAAACCCAATTCTATTTTGGATGAACACAAACCCAATTCTAGATGAAAATGTTGAGTATAACCCACGTATTTGAATTGATAAATCCAGGCCTAATTTGCATTTGTTATTTGTTTTTCATGACTATTTTGCCCTTGAAGGCAAATAATGGAAACACATTAAAAGTCCTTGATTTAAAGCATTTGTCACTCTTAAATTTTGAATTCGAATTTAAAACATTTGTAGCTAAAAAAAATCATAACTCATATGGACCAAATTTAAAAAATTGGTATTATAAGTACAATGCACATAAGATACATTAATCAAGCTTACCGAAAGGTCCAAATGAAGAACATGAATGACGAAAACACCCACGAGCATAAATATAAAATTGTGTTACCTTATTTATAGCAGGACAACAATTTAGGGTGATAAAAAATTTTTGTGTTCAAATTCGTCTTCGATATTTATGGATGTTAGATTTTCCAATTGGATGTTACGTCAAATAAAATCCTTCCTTATTGGCCACAGTTTGTGGAAATATATTGATGGTAACTATCAGCCACCCACAACCCCCCACCATAACCAAAACCACCACTACTCCTTCCTCCGACTCTTTTGATTCCTCCTCTACCACTACATCACCAGCTGGTGGTAAGTTCTAATAAAATTAAAAAATTCATAAAATCTAGGGTCTAACCAAAATAGACCCATACAACTAAAATACTCTAGACAATACCCACCTGTTTTTTGTTTTTTGTTTTTATATCTCAGTTTTCAGCCTTTTATTTTTCATTTTTTAATTAAAACTTAACACTGTTATGTTTGTGTTAAGTAGGTGGACACCCGTCAACAAATTGGACAAGGGACATTAAGGGGCATGAACTTGACTTAATCAAATCTACCATTTCGTATATTCCTAAAAAGAGTTGTTTACACTAACATTCCTTGAGATTTTGGAAATTACATGAACACCCTTTAAAGTTATAAATTGTTTTCTTAAAACTCCTTTCCATTGATTTCCGTCCAAAGATTGATGATTTTATAAATAGAAAAATTCTCCAATTATTTTTAATTTCTTTTGTTTTTGTTCCAAATGAGAAAGTTAGACATTGAGATTAAATTGCATATACATTCATTGAGGTTAATTTTGTCATTTGTATAAGTTTATTTTAACGAAATCATCAATTTTTGGATGAATAATCAACGAAAAGGAGTTTTGTGAAAACAATATAAAATCTCAAAGTGTTCATATAATTTTTGAAACTTTAGAAAGTTTTGTGAAAACATCGAAAACTTCAAAGGTGTTCTTGTAAATAACTATTTCTAGAAACAAGTACAGGTTTGATAAATAAATTATTTTTTAATGAATAGTATAGCCGTGTGTGTTATACTATTTAAGTATATTTTTATTTTTATTTATAAAAAAAAATTGGGTCGAAAACAGAAACACTGCTAAGCAACCAATTAAACAGAGAACGAAAACCCAATGATGAATGCATTGCTAATATCCAGCAAACCTTTTTCTGAAATGTGGAGCGGAAACGCCACAAAATCTGTCCTTTTCTTGCGATCAGTTCAGTCTACTGAGTATTCAGTGGTCTGAGATATGGTCATGGCCCAAAAAGAAGCGTGTTCATATGATTGTGTCTAGAGACTCGTCAAAAGAATCTCCAAAACGTGCAGGTTGGAGCAGCCAGATGCTTTCAATTCTATCTCCATGGACATCGTCCAAAAAATAGACACAATCAACAAATGCGTAAATTTTCCGCGGAATGTGGGCCATGGACTGCAAACATTATTGGCACCCGCCATATGACTCTCGATGGGCCACTGCCATGCGCACCAGTCTTTACTGCACAAGAATTTGACATCCATATCCTTTTCAAAGCTCCACTTGTTAAGTAATTGGAAATTATACAGACGATTTCAACGTAGAAAAAGGGGAATGAGACATTTGCACCAACGGACAAATTACTAGAGTGTATTCAACTGGGATTTTATAAGATTATTTTGAAGCTTAAAAGTTCAGTGGTATTCAATTAGGATATTTAAGTCATCAATAAAAGTACATTGATATTCACTTGGAATTTTTAAGTAGGTCTGTAAGTAAATGTCATTTTTTACTAGACTATACCTCGTTGACACACCAACTTTCCGGTTTGTGACAGTTCTGTTCGACCATGGGCTATGTATTGGCTAGTTACATATAATTGCACGCATCCAATATATTTTATAGCCGATTAATGAAACACGAAGGCCATACAAACATTCACCCAACCAGCACATGCATAGTTAATTATAGATTCATGGGTATTCAATTAGGATATTTAAGTCATCAATAAAAGTACATTGGTATTCACTTAGGATTTTTAAATAGGCCTGTAAGTAAAATGTCATTTTTTACTAGACTAGACCTCGTTGACCCACCAGCTTTCCGGTTTGTGACAGTTCTGTTCGACCATGGGCTATGTATTGGCTAGTTACATATAATTGCACGCATCCAATATATTTTATAGCCAATTAATGAAACACGAAGGCCATACAAACATTCACCCAACCAGCACATGCATAGTTAATTATAGATTCATGATTTTGAAACAAAATACAGTTACGACTCACGAGAAAAAAAAAAAAAAAAAAACAGTAATACAAGGGGTGAGATCAAAAAGCTCCAATTACATACTGTCAAATGTAAAATGAAAAAGAAAATTCATCCGAACGCATATAACAATATTACTTTGTCTAACTTTTGAAGCTCAAACGACACTAAATATTTCCGTTTTAGAAATCTTAGATTTGACATCCGACCCCATGATATGATGATACTATAAGAATAACATAAATAATTAAATTACGAAATCAGCCTTGACTATATATGGTTTTTACTTGTTATTTATCCAAATGGTAAAGGCTATAAAGTTATATGGTTTTTACGTGCGCACATAAGACTAATTTTTTTTTTTGGTTCAAATTCGTCTTTCGATATTTATGGATGTTTTGAATTCAAGATTTTCCAATTGAGAATTAGGGAGGCACTATGGAGAAAGCTTGATTTATATGCAGACAGAAGAGACAATTGTTTTTCCTAGCTAGCTAGCCTAGTAGCATCCTAATGTTATATGATGATGGGGAATTTGTCTGTTTTCAGTTCGAAATGTCTTTGGGCGGTTTTAAAATGTCTAGATAGGAT